TTACAGCCTCCCTATCCCTAGAAAAATTCACAAATGGCCTATCAAATTCTAACAAATTGCTAGAAAATGTTTGATATTAATTATATTATTATAGTCCTAACTTCTAGCGTATCGTGCCAGTGCCAATGCCAATTTTACAGCCATTACAATATATTTACAATTTTATCAATGCACCACACATATATTACATTTTGTACATTCGTTGTTGTATAAATTTAACTATTTAAGTAATTTTTTTGTGATTATTGATTGTCATTATTTTTTATTTTTATTGCATCGTTTAGTCACGGATAATTTGCACACCGTCGTTGTTTTACTTATATTGATACCTATTACTATAATAAGTATAGTTACTTACCCGGATTATACGCGTATCTAGATGTTATTATTGTAAACTATTTTACTTAATGCGGACCATATTGTCTTTAGGGTTATTACTTAATAGACTATCTATTACAATAATCCTTTATGGTTTGTTTTGTTGTTTTTGTCGGTGATTTCAATCATTATAATATTTATATTATTTACTACGGTACCTAAATGGTTAAAAAAAACGTCTGACGGGAATCATAAAATTAAAAAAAATGTAAATGATAATAATAACAAAGCGGTTGTCTAACTTGAAGAAAAAAAAACGATTATTATCAATCACTATTTTAATATTATACTATAGTATAATATACCTATATATATATATATAAGTGGTGATAAATGATAGGAAAAATAAAACGTTTATACTTTTTTTACGAGTATTATTGTTATTGTATTCTCCTGCCCCTTTGTCGTTATCGATTTATTCTTATAACAATAACTGGTCGTAAAAAACGAACCGGAACTTTTGGTCTACATAGGATATATTATTATCATACAATACTTATAAAATATAAGCACATCCCCGAGTATCTATATGATATAGTACACGCATAGTCAGCCGTAGACAGGTAAATAAAATGTACGTTGTTGTACAATATTCTCCGTGACTTGTCACTGTGCATGTCTGTTGATCTGTTAAGTGGTTGTCCCCGTACTGGACAAGGGAGGGGTTCAACTGCCGGCTTTGAAATAGTTGCACCAATGTGTACACAACACTAAATCATACGATTAGGTACCATAAAACAACGAACATTTGTATTTTTATGAGCATCAAATATAATTAACATTCTGTACAGTACACAATTATACATTTTTATACACTATAATATTATATAAGTACAAAATAATACAACGTTATAACTCGAATGAATAATTCGAGTCATTATACGCTCGCAACACTATAGCCTAATCAAATACAAATGATATGCATTTTACATAATATATATTATACACATAATAATTAATAATAATAATATATAGGTAATAATGTAATATATATATATATATATAATACGAAACAAACACGGAAATCAAAATGTTCACTTACAATGTATAAACAATATAATATTATAAATACGTAAATATAATAAGAATAGTATATTATTATATTATATAGTATTGAATGAAGGTAGGTTTGAGAAAAATGACTAATTTTTTACACGAAAGTTCGTTTACCCGTTGGGCGTGTTGTATGATCGTTTTAATACAATAAAATATTATTATTATCATACAATAAATAAATATATAATAATAATGCATCTTGACCTGATGCGGTAAAAACCAATAAATTAGTTAATAAAGATAACTGACACAATTAAGCAATGTGCTCGGTCTTATTTTCACACTTACAATTATACATATATTATGTACATGATATACACTCGTAAGTATATATATATATTATATATATATAGTATGACCTACTTATTTATGGCAATAGATAAGGGGCTATTATTCTCTGTAATAATCATGTTACTTTTAATTTAAGAAAAATAATTACACCAATGAATGATTATTAGTAACTGTTTCAGGTAGAAAGAAAAAAAGTACTTATTTTAGTCATATCGTTTAAAACATCAAGGGCTGTTAGTTTATTTTAACTTTACAACAATGTATTACATTAACAACCCAATTGACTAGTTAAAAATTAAAATATATAATTAAGCATTGTTATGTTGTCGGATTATATTTGAATATTAGACAAACGAATTTACACCATTGCTTTTGTGAGCCTTCTACTCTAAAACGCTATTGTTACTATGTGTAATGTTAACCGAATATGAGCGTTAACTTTTAATTGTGTTTGAAAACTTCAAAATAGACAGGGAAATGTGTTGAAACGAAAACAACTTAAATTTCTTATAAATTTATTGTAATCCAAATGTGACGTGTCGACAAATAAAAGAGGTTTATGCAGAGCTTTAGGAAAATAAAAAGTGATAACGACTGATAATGAAGTTCATACAGCCATGAATAATAGAGCGCCTTTGTGGTAAATTTTTCCGCTGAAGGTTGTGAGTAGTTAAAAAATAAAAAAGCGTGAAGAGAAACGTGTTGGAAGGAGGGTCGCTGTTAATTATTTTTGAGCGTTAAAAAAAAATAATAATAATAATGAATTCAACATTTACGTGTAATTAATTCAAGTTAAAAGTAGGTAAAAATTCTGCAGAGGTCAGATAATATACGTGAACGTAATATTACTAGGTAGGAATTGAACGAGTAGTCGAGGGACACGTAGATGATTAATCAAAATGATCATCATTATATACTGTTGAAATGACAAGCACACGCAATAATATCATTATCACAGAGCCTTTATAGTCAATTTTAACGTTTTTTTTTTTTATATTTTTATTTATTTTTTTATGGCACCGAACAGTGGTTAAACTATAATGCTATACGCGACCCATTCGTTTACATAATATTATTTTGTTTTATCGTGTTGTATCGGCCGTTTAGAATCGTTAAACGCGCTTTAATAAAAAAAAAAAAAAACCGACCGAAAAATCGATGCGAGACGGCATCTAATAACCGTCACTATATACGACTATTTTAGTACCTATATACCTGTAGTTGGTTGCGGTCGTGTGGTTGTTGTGTTTCGTTTAAAACCGTTGTACGAAGTAGCCGTTGATGTATTTACATGGGTATGTCGATCGATAAATAACTACGGTCGAGTGGGGCCGTTTAATCATTTTCAAACGCGTCCGTTGGGGCTACAAGATTTTTGAACAGTGCTCTACGCCGTTGCCGGGTGTGTGTGCATAGGAATCTTATTGCACTCGAGTGAGGACAGATTCGAAGTACTCGTAAACACGTCGCCTAGCAGAGGACTGGATACGATCGAGGGGATAAGTGTGCAGTGGCAGGGATGGGAAGGGGGTGGCCGAGTAGAAACAATGACACTAATATCGTTGTATAAAAATCAACTATCGAATAAAAATGAAAAATTAAATTATAAAAGAAAGTGAAAACGAGATCGCTCCGACATCGAATGCCGTCGAGCCTCTATTGGAAAAAGAGCGAACAAAAAAAAAAAAAAAAATAATAATTTAATTTACCAATAAACGGTGAAAGATCGTTTTAAACATTTATTTTTTTCCATTTTTCAAACGCCGACGATAGAAACAGATAGCAGAGAGAATAATATAATAGCTAATATATAATATATCCGGCGGAGAGTATAGCGTGTCACTCAGCAGGAATCTGGCTGTGTGATGTGAGGAAAATACATAATGCATATCGACACAGTGGACACCGGTGTGGTGTAGTAGTCGTCTACCATGCATTTCGTTACGGGTAAATGCAACAGATTTTCATTAGATAACATTGTTATGGGTACTTTTTTTTTTTAAGGCTACTTAATTGAAAACATTCCACATAAGCACAAAGACGTATTATAATAATTGCGTAATAAAATTTTTTTCAACCCTAACTGCAACACTACTAATAATCAAAATTTATTTTATTTTATTTTTACTTTTTTTTTTTTTTAGAAAAATACCGTTATAATATTATGACGTAATACACTATGAAACCGTATTGAATATTATTATATATTATATAAAAAAAGAGAGTAATTATTATGTTAAGTAAGTTATTTTAAATATTAATGTATAACATATATATTATGATAGTAATAATAATTTTTATAAAAAGTATAGAGAGCTACACATAATAATAATATTATGACGATTTCTAAAATTGATCATTATTAGCACAAAAAAATCGTCGGATTTGGATTACAACAACAGTACCTTTATTTATTGAAGAACGTCTGACTCGTACAAAGGGTCGATCACATGAATGTTTGATCAGAATACAACAAGGAAAATGATTAATTTATCTTTTTTACAAAACATTAATTTTTTTTATACATTTATTGTTTAAACTAATACTCTACGACTAGATCTAGAATTTGTGTGTCCAACGTTCTCCAAACACAGATACATGTTGATGCGTGATACGGTAGCGGTGGCCGCGACGGTGTTGGTTTTCCTATATTGAATATATTTCCAGACTCGATCATGAACGTATCCCATGAAACACAACGACTACAGTCTTTACTCTTTCGAATTTTCATCAAATGGTATATTATATTATACACCGACACGTACCTACAATGAGGCATAGCGCGTGCTTTACATGTTACGCGATCGATGAGATGCGTAACTGGTTTACAAAGGCCTCTTATCCTCTTCCCCCTCCCGCCCAACAGCCACCAGTACACTCGAGACAGCTTCCGTAGCACTTAAGCCGGTTACGGGATAGTGGCTGGCTGGTGGTGTATGATGGGGAGGAGGATAAAGAGGGGATCGTGTGCGTCGGATTATTTTTATCGGTGCGATCGGGGTCGTCGGGGCAGAGGGGCAAGTAAAACGGGGTCGGCAAGTGCGTATTATTTGTGGCTGGGCTTAAGAGTCGCAAAAACGACGGAGAGAGTGAGGGTGGTAAACACGGTAACCGGGCGGCGGGAGAGATCGGTTGTTCAAGGTTTGGCCACCGCCTCCGTATTTGGAGATTTCGCCGGAAATGTATGAAAAGCCGGTGACGTTAGTAGTACCGTCGGACGTTCCGGCGGTTGGGTATCGCCTCTCGCCCGTTGGCGTTGAGGCGAAAAGCTCTAGCTACAGCTCCGTGACTGGTATCGGCTTGTCGTTGCGGTGCGGCATTGTGTTCTGGTGGCGTGGTTGCTGTGGCTGGTAAAGGTGTTGGTTGTGATGGCTGTAAGTGCCGTGGTGCAGTGGCGGTGGTGGTGGAGGTGGTGGTGCCGGCGCCATCATCATCATCATGTGATGGTCGTTGCTATGATGCTGATGCTGCTGCTGCTGGATTTGCTGCTGAAAGTTCTGGAGGTGGTGATGCTGCTGCTTGTGCTGCTGTGGCTGACTATGATGCTGAACGCCACCATGGTGCTGGTTGTGCTGCTGCGAGTTATGGTGTTGGGGCTGGTGGTGGTGATGGTGTTGTTGTTGTTGCTGTGGTTGTTGTTGTGGTTGGTGTCCGTGAGGACCAGGGTGATGTTGCGTGTTTGTGTTCCGGACGATGAATTCATCGTCTGAGAAAGTCTTCTGGTACTCTAGGTCCTTTCGGTTCACCGTCTCCTTGTTCCAGAACGTCTTCTTCAGTGAATGGTGTAGACGCTTCCGGAACCGGTACGCCAACAGCAACATGAGCGCTATGAACGCTACGGTGCACCCGAAAACTGCACCCACGATGGCCTGCTGTCTGGTGTAGTACTTGGCGCATGACAGGTCGTCGGACCCGAGTGAGTTGAGCGGCTTGTCCTTGAGCGGTGCCGGACTGGCGCAGTTCACGTGGCTGGTGTTGCGGCGGGCCAGCAGCTCCTTGAGCCACAGCACTGAACACTCGCACACCAGTGGGTTCTCGGTCAAGTCAATCTGCTGCAATTCTTGCCATGTGACCATCGCCTCGGCAAACGATGTGAATGCGTTGTTGCGCATAATCAGGTTCCGGAGGTTGGGTAGCCCCATAAACGCACCGTTTTCAATGGTCGCTAGCTGTTTGTTACTACTAAAGTTTATGGTTTCTAGGTTGAGGTTGTCGTTGAACACACCTTTCTTTATAACTGAAAGCTGGGACGCGCCTGACACGTCAATTGATCGCAAGTTGGCTAGCCCTTTGAACGCGTTTGGTTCAATCGTCACAAAGTCGTTCTGTCCCACACACAGGTCTTCCAACCGATTCAGGTCAGACAGCTGTTTAGTGGGTATGGCCGACAGCCGGTTGTCCGTTAGCACCAGTCGCCTAAGCACGGTTAGTCCTTTGAAGGCATTGGTACTGATGTTGATCAACGCCGCGCCGGTAAGCTCAAGCACGGACAGCCGGCCGAGCCCCGCAAAACAGTCATCGTCCAGCGTGGTGAACGCGTTCAGGCCGATGCGCATCTCAGCAAGGTTTCCTAGGAACTTAAATGCGGGTGTGGGTATGGCTCGGAGCTGGTTGTCATCCAAGTACAGAACCCGAAGTCGGGTTAGGCCCTGAAACGAGGCCGGATCGATACGGGTGATGCGGTTGGCGCCCAAGTCGAGTTCTTCGAGTTTGGGCAGTGCTGCAAACAGCCGATCAGGCAGGTCTTCCAGATAGTTTCCACGCAGGTTCAGTATGGTTAGTGACGCCAACCCTATGAACGTCTTGTTGTTGATTGAAGAGATCTTATTGTGATTTAGGTGGAGCTCAACGAGCTTCTCCTGGGCCTCGAACCCTTTGTTGGGTATGTTCACCAGGTGGTTGTGCGATATATCCACATACTGCAGTGCCCCGTAAAACTGAAACGATGCGTCCACGATCTTGATGCGGTTATACATGAGCATCAGTCTCTGGATGGACGGGTTCAGTGTAATCGGGATTACGTCCAAATTGCCCTCCTTGCATAGCACCACCAGCGTATCGTCGTCGCATGAGCAGTTTGACGGGCAGTGGGCCCGTATCATCGCGGTCACGGCCAATATCGTGAGGGCCCACGTGGCCGAGACGCGGTTGGTCGCAAACATTTTGGTCCGCTGTGGCTTACACGGTCCGCAAGCGAAACATCTGCAATACGAAAAAAAAAAATCGTTAAAAATGATCAACAAAATACGAATATAATAAAAGATTAAAATTATAATACAATGTTATTATAGATTTAAATACACGAGCACGGTCGTGTGTGATAATCTCCACTCGAACCCTTTCCAATATCATTATTTATACATGTATTAAATGTATTATCGTATTTATGATTTTGCGCCCAATTTTAAACACAGCTAAATGCTAAATACCTATATGTATCTATTATCTAATGGTATTTCTAGTTTTTAATATGATTTTACGACTGTTGCGTACTGTAAGAGTGAATATATATTTGTTCGCATAACCGTATAGGTGACGTTAAATTTACATAAAATGTGTGTATTATCTGCAGCACAATCACAACAGTTGTATCCGCGAATATTAAAGACTTCACAAAATACATTATGTTTTAAAACGCATTAAGGTCAGAGTATAGCGCCGCGCTTTCTCTGTTGCAATGATGTTTTATAAAAAGGTTTTTCTTTGTTACTGGTAATGTCAGCAATTGCATGTCATGTAAAATGGAAAAAGAAATCTAATGAGTAGGGAAATATTCCAAGGCGTGTATGCCACAAATCAATATTGCACACCTGTTTTTTACGTACTTTAGAAATACTAGGAATCATTCTATATCAGTGTTTCCCAACCAGTGGTCCGCGGACCACCGGTGGTCCGTGGGCCAGTCATAGGTGGTCCGCGGTACCTTTCTTAGTTTTCTATTAAAAATTATTTTTTTTTTTTAAACAGCGAAAAATATTTTATTTTACCGTAATATACAGTTATCTTATCGTATACAAAAATCACACTAAGTAAATTATTAGTAAAGTTTAATAATTATATATAATAGTACAGTAAGATAATAAAAATTTTCCAATAAATTTTTGTGTATTCTTGTTAATGAGCAAAAAAAAAAAAAAAAGGTCTTCCTAGTTTGAGGTGGTCCGCAACCTATAAAATATTGTCAAAGTGGTCCGTGGTGGTAAAAAGGTTGGGAAACACTGTTCTATATAATGTAATGCATAATATTGAAAGCACACATTGATAAATAATGATTCGGACTTCAGCACGATGTCTTTAACCTTTCGCGGTCACCTAAATCACTTATCGAACGGCCAAGGTCGAATTCGCGAGTGTTTCGGCAAAATACTTGTTAAATAATTATTGTTTACACGTTCATTTTTACTTTTATTTTTCTACATCGTTCCGTTCGCATGTTAAACTGCAAAATATTGAACATAATAAACACTACGGTTGATTTATTACGAGACCCCTAAACGTGATTGATATGTTATTATATTATTATGTATTTACGCACACAATCTGCAGCGTGAGCGAGATTAAGTGAGCCATAAGTAATAAATAGTTTACAGTGAAAAGCTATTTAAATTTTTGTATTTCAAATTTTATAGAATTTCACACATGAATGCGTCGCTTAAGAAGCAACAAAGGCGATTAGTATATTATTATTTATTATATGACTCACGTGGGGGAAAGAATAACCCCGAGATGTTGTAATATTTTTTTATCGATCATCTGCAGAGTGTGTGGAGAGTATACACACAATATATACATTATTATTAAAACACTTATACGATGCATTTAATAATAATAATAATAATAATAATAATAATAATAATAATAACAACAACAATAATAATAGTACGTTATAATATTATGTGTTGACAAAGCAGGGATTTGGTTAAGTCGGACTAGGCGTTGGATGCGAAACGATCGCACTGAGCCATAATATTTTGCAAAAGCGTAAAATAAAATCATGCCCTGGCAGGACGCAGCGAGGGCGATGGTAGCAAACCGAAACTATTCCGACGCGCGTGAAACAACCGTCGTTGATTTATTACTATTATGGTTTAATTATTTTTTCCAACACTTTTTTGTTATTCTTTGTATTTTTTGTATTTTTTTTTTTTTTTTGTTGATTCGTAAGCGAAACGATTGTATTTCAAATGTTTTGGTGTGTGGAAAGTGCTGTTTAATTTTTTTTAAACATTTTTTTATTTCACACGTTCGCACGTTATAAACCGACCCACACACGACAATATTATAGTATTATTAAAATGCTTAACCGCGGTTTTTATTTCTCGTTAATGAGACGTAATTTAGTGAAACTGGTTTTTATCCGTGTAGAACGAACCTCGAGCACGACGACCAACGAAGAGAGGAATACAAATACATAGAAAGAAACGTCAGAGTATTAAAATTATAGTCTGATGGTTAGTGATATTTTTATTTTTTCTTGTTAATGTCCGTCGTAGAGATATTAGTTTTGATAGTGTCCATCAATAGAGGTTTTTTAGATTTTTACTGTTCGTAAAATATGTTACATCACTATAACAGAACATGTACATTTTTCTGCTCGATCGTGTCGTAAGCTATATGAGCACCAGAGCGCACTAAACATAATTTATTTCAGAACGTTGTGAACACGAATATTTACATAACATTCTCAGGGTACGTTTTTGATAGAAGAAATTGTTTTGTTTTTATTAAGTGCCTTAAATATATATATTTTTTTCTGCGCAAAAGCTATATGACATATTCCGATTTATTTTTCAAACAGAAACAGATTTTTTTAATAATATTTTTAAGTAAGTATTAGGAACAATAATAATTGTTTTATTTAAAAATAAAATAGGCACCCATGTACAGAATTTTATCAGCCACTTCTCTCTAAAAGAAATTAGGACGTTTTTCAAAGGTATATTTGAATTACTTTACGACAATTTATTTTAATAATAATATAATATATTATATAAAATTATTACAAGCGTAGTCACCGCGTTAATAGCTATAGACCGATCGTAAATCGTGTTATACCTACTATAAAGGTGGGTTATTACACGGTCAGTTAAACCTCGAGAACAATATTTTGGGTATTTTGTGCAGTTCTTTTGAGCAATTAAACCGAGTAACTGCGTATAACCGTGAAATTTTTGGACGAATTTTAGTTGATATAATAAAACGTCGTCGTCGTCGTCGTCGGAAAATTAAAAAAATATAAAACTATGCCACTTGCCGTCGAGTAGAAACCATAATTATATCGAATATTCGGTTCCGTCCACGAGGCCGTCACCGTAGAGTACGAAATGGGTTGAGTGTAATATAATATATTGTCTTTATTAAAAACTTGCACAAGACCGACGGTTGTACGGCACCGCAAACTTTTTACTTTTTCAATTATGTTACTGCATCGACATGTTTTATGTTTTCGGGAATTGTTTTTCTCCGTATACGCAAGTGAACGGCGAACACATTACCTGTACTACTTAATCGAATTTGAAATTATTCAAAAGTAGCTAACAACCTTATATCGCCCTTCAAGCGTGTAACGGGAGGGGTAATCGCCCACCCCTCGGGGGTTCGCCCCGTCCGACGTCGCTATACATATTATATAATAATACGTGTAATAGTTTTTAACTACGAAACCTATAGGTATAAGTAGTAAGTACCCGTACATTATGTGAACGTTGAGCGCTCGCAAAGTCGCAAATGATTTCCATTCAATTTTGATACAAAGCCGACCCCGGCTCATGCGTTCATCAAAACTTTATTCCTGCAGTACGCTCGAAATTCTGTGCTTAATCCATTTTTTTTTTTGCGACGTTCCCTGGAATCTAACGTTTAAACTTTAAAGTTTCCCCATCTATACAGGGATCGATAGTTCTCTCTCTGTCTCTCTCGCCATGTATTGTGTGCCACTTTAACGAAGTACGAACACTAACACGTACCACTACGGAATCGTGTGCCCGGATCAGCTGTAGGTAGGTAGGAGTCATAGTGTACATCGTGTTGGCAAGACATAATAATTAACAAGTTTATACCGTCTCGTCGAGTTTCTCGTAGGTACGATTTGCATACCTGCAATGCATTTTGCGTGTCTATACGAGTCGGCTGAGTATTCGAAAAATGCCACTGCAGTCTGTACGTGGACACCGTTCGTGAATTTATTATTTAAACGGTTTACCTGTACTTCGGTGTACAAGACCTATAGGTCCCATAACGGGTGCGGTCTTTCTTTTCCGTCCCATCGGCGCACTGCAGATCATATTTTATGCACACTGCGTCTATCGATTATCGGAATATTATTATGATCATTCAAAACACAGTTCGTACCGTGGACACGGCCAGTATAATATACTGCTCATAAACTTTCGTGATCGCTTATCGAAAAACCGTGCATGTTATGTATATTATAATATTATTGTTCAGCTGTGCCTTTGTCAAATTGTATTTTGTGTATGTTTTTTTTTTTTTTACTTAAAAAAGGTAGTATATAATAGTTTCGTATAACTGCGCTATCGTTCTCCGAGACAGGCCCACTAGTGATTGTGCGATTCACCGTGAGAAAAGCTACTGTGTGTCGAGTTGTTTTCGAGAGTGGGGGGGGGGGCGGAGTCGTTGTTATACTATATAGTGATGATGGGAGACGGATTTAGACGGTATCCCGCAGGAGCACCTTTAAAACGCCACGAGCACGGAATTAAAAACGAGTGTTAAACCAACGAAAATAAATAATATTATACTATTTCTTTCCACCAGCGCCGCCGCCCGCGAGTAAAACATTGACCTGTTCAGTGTTCGTTCTGCACCGCCTCGCCAACGCCACCGCAGCAACCGCGTGTGACGAGCGGCGGTCGTAGGTTTATTCAAGTCGTCGTCGTCTATTTTATTATTATATACATCGGCGTTCGAGATTTTCACGTGCTCGTTGAACATCTCCTCTCGTCGGTGACTACTTAGTTATCCACGTGCAGACAATTATAATGTATATAACATTATGTGCGCACAACATAATAAAAACATAGTATTAAATAATATCAAACGCACATCTTGTTATTTAAATACGGACAGCCCAGGGTGAAAAATGCAAACGATACGCCGTCGGGGTGGGTGAAAAATGGACGAAAAGGCCGCTCCGTAGGAC